TATCCCTTCACACATGTGTTAACCCACACTTTGCTTGACCCTGTTGTTTTGAGTGTTCAAAAGCAAAGGTAGAGGAAAGTTGTGTGGGTCATGCATGTGAATGGAAAGGTCCGACTTGAGTATGGGATTGTACCAGTTTTCTCTGGAACTTGTTGTCTTTGCATGTTGCGCAGGTAGGTAGAAGAATGCTTCCAAAGGAGATTGATTATGCCTATTTGAGATAAAGAAAGGATTATCCTCTTTCTACTTTCCACCTGCCTGCTTGTCAAATTGAAATTATTGTTTTGAAAAAGATTAATTCAGTGAGTGTCATAAAAGGAGTTCGATTCAAATAAAGCAGAATAAAGTCAAACGAACTTAATCTTCTCCCAAGGAATGACCATTTTTATCCCGAATCACCTTTAAGTTATTTACTTGTACCTGTCCAAATGATTCTCATTCTCTATCTCATTCTGTTTCTTTTCGTCTAAGTTACCCAAGACTTAGGAGAACTAAAAAATATATGAAAGTTGCTTGCAGTGGACACATCTTCTATCTCTAGGAAGCATCTGGGGCGAGGGTTTGTTGCTTTAGGAGGCGGCCCTACTATCGACCCAAAGTGGATCACTCTACGGGGGGGTACTTTGCCGATTCGGTGGAGACGGCCTGACTTCCGAGATCCGAGCTCTGTGCTCGGGCCAGGAGGAGGAGTACCTCAGACCACGTCCTAGAGGGAGATGCATGCAACACTTCAAGCAATGCCCCTGATCAGTAATCATTTGTAAAGCAACCTGTAATCTAAAAAAAACGAGAAATTACGGTGAGAGGTGTGTGCGGGTCTAGTGGTAGACTGCAATGAATGATTTTGGCGGCGCGTCTCATCAAGTCAAAACTGAGGTGGTCCGACTACCTTGTCAGCTGCATCAAGATTATTGTCAGTAGTCAACTCCTCATTGGTGGTTGTATGATTGTTTTGTGGTGTTCGACATGAGATAGTCGGATTGTATTTCGATCTTGTGTTATTGAATGTATTAAATGATGATTTGTATTCTTCCAACTATCATTTCATAAAATGATATGCGTTTTATCGACTACGGTCGATTCCTTTTGATAAAAGTATGTATGGTTATTATAACTTTTTTTTAGCTATGTATCTAAAAGAACTTGGATAATGTTGGGTTTCACGCTTGTTGAGACCGTCCTAGTCGACCGACGTCTGCTCCGTACCTAGAAGACCAGCGCCCTAGGAACGGACGGCGTTCATGTCCACTTGGCGTTAACCAAGCATATCTACACTACAGCGAGCGAGCAAACACCCTCGACTGACCTACCTATGCAATTGCATTTAAAAATTTTTGCACGTGGATCAGTAGCTCGGTAGGGATACACCCCTAAGGGTGGTGACAGCCCCTTAGGGAAAGGAAGCTTATTTCCCACGGGAACCTATCCTGTCGTAGGGGACCACGAGATGTATAGCTGGCGCACCCGGCTAGAGCGGCGAAGGGACGATGCTACCAAGACCGTTTTGGCAGTTCGCGAGATTATTTTGCGTCATTCCCGAGTTGTCTCTTGGTTTTGTTTTGTTTATCTCCTGCGTGACATGGCCGGGATGACTCTCGCACCTTTGCAAAAAGGCGGGAGCCGATGCGCTCGACAATGACCAGTGTTATAATCACACTCCCACGACACACCCTGGGCAGAATGGAGCATTCCAAGGCGGGAGACTCTCAGTGGTACCCAGTTCCTCAGCAAATCTCCACCCCCCAACTGTATATGTTGTAAGCACAACCAGCTCATTGGATGAGGTCCAGATTTGGGCCGATGAGGTCATGTGGTCCCTTTTTAGCCCAACGAGGCACTGCTTGGCCCGATGGCTATAATGACTGTGTGTCCTATTCGGGGGAAGACTGTAACACTACTGTTCCAAGCATTTGCGAATTTGGGACTCGGCTACAGGTCAACTTTTCGCCAGACGAGGTCCTTTTTTTTTTTTTTAAAGGGTGATAGTCTTTTCAGCCAAGGGTGACCTTTATTGCAGTCAGGGAACCCCACCAGATTTGACCCGACGAGGTCATGTGGCTGTCTCTTATACACATCTAGATGTGTATAAGAGACAGCTACTGTTCCAAGCATTTGCGAATTTGGGACTCGGCTACAGGTCAACTTTTCGCCAGACGAGGTCCTTTTTTTTTTTTTTAAAGGGTGATAGTCTTTTCAGCCAAGGGTGACCTTTATTGCAGTCAGGGAACCCCACCAGATTTGACCCGACGAGGTCATGTGGTCCTAGTATGACGCCCAACCTCACGCCCAACGTGACTTCCAGATCGGAGTGGGATGGGGGTCCGAAAGTGCGAAAAGGGGGTGTGCCAAGGATTTTAGGAAAGTGGGGATGGAGTCCCAGGTCAAAACTGAGATCTCTTGTGGCTAGATTCAGGGACAGTTGTGCAAGATGATAGAGGCGCAAGGCGCGTCTGGCTTTTACGTCGTGGAAAATGAAGTTACCATCTTCACTCGCTTCGTCGCCACGGGCGGATTCGAATTTGGTGGACCGGTGGGACGCTATGGCTGTCGCGTTGTCTGAACAGTTGCTGGCGTCGCTCGTAGCAAGCCTTGGAATCTGACGAGGCTGGCCTCAGACGGAGGCTGTGTGTGCGCTGCTCAGCTTCGGTTCTGGTTCGTCGGATAAATACCACGGCTCGATACGCGCGGTCTCGCTGGCATTCCACACACGGCGTGCGGGGTCAATAGCGAGCTATGGAATTCCACGGTACTACTGTGAGTTGGTGATACAGAAGGAGATGATAGAAGGGAGGAAAGTCGATATTGATAGCGATGAAACTGGAGATATGTAATATGGGGTGTTATTGGTGTTGGGATAGTCCAGGATCCTAGGATTTATGCCTATAGCCCACTGAAAGTCCCCCTCATACAGTCGATCGTTTTCATTTTGACAGGGATATTTAGGATTTCTCAGGTTCCCCCGTCGTCTAAGTTGTTCCCTCTCCCAGTATTCACAATATTCCGGGTCCCTTAAGTTCTTACGATCGGTGACCCAGCAGGGCGCTTCTGTAACCATCTCCCATTTGGTGGATACACATTCTTATGGCGAAGCAAGGCCGAGGTCGACTCATGCAGACGTGTGCGTATGTCGCGACCCCGCCGTTTTGGGTCGCTCTCATACACGCACGCGCGCAGGAGCGGGAATGGCCGCGTCAACGGGTCCATGGTGAGCGGTCTTGTCGGCGTATCGATCCTATCCCGCATGCATGCAGCTACCCTTCTTTGCAAACATCATTCAGTCATTACATGCATACCCATGTCATTGGTAACGAAAGAATGGAAAAGAAAAGGAGCAACCGCTCCGGTGTAGAGGACCAACACATCACAACATTCCCGGGATCACACAAGAATATCGAACGAAAACATGCATGATGAACATATCCAACCAGATCCGGAGTTATCGCGCAACACAAATGGATACTAGAAAGTGACGAAATCTGGGTTAAGCTAGCACCATTGAGTAAGACAAGGTGGGAGACTCAAAAGACCACTTGAGGAAAAAGGGAGAGGGGGTTGTGGAGAAGGACGCAAGTTCACTCAACAATACACTAGAAACAGAAGATCCGCAACAATTCTCTAAACATCTGAAATTGCCGCAACAAAATTGGCCAACGTTGGAATCAAAAATTATATAAAAGGCTGGAAGAAAGACACCATCCCACGCACATCTGTCCTTTCTCTCTCCCTCTCTCTTCACACCACTCGCAATGCGGGTAGTCCGTCCCCTCGCATCGACACAAAGTTGTCACCCCGCTTGGTCCGAATATGCAAGCCAGGTTCGCCTGTGCGCCACAGTCCGTCGCGGCCCACACGTCAACCCCGCATACCCCGCACCAGCTCGTCAGATCTCCCAACTCTCTCGTCTACTCGCCTTTCAAGCTTACTCGTTAGCCGATCCTCACTGACCGTGCTAACTTCCAAAATCATAGAGAGAAAACTAATCGCGCTTGCGAAATTAATAGCATGAATGCTTGCGCGAGGAACCCGGGATTATGCTTAAGTGAGAGGATGGGGAAGGAAAGGAAGTGTCTACGTCTGCATGGCCAAGCCGCGGCGTGGGGGATACAGCCACACTCCACGCATCGATCCGGTCATGCAGTCGCTCAGGCCAATTAGAGAGGAGGACGAGGTATGCACGCCAGAGAGGGAGAAGGCGGGGAAACACTAGAGAATCACGAAGGAGCACAATTACAATCACGCCCGCCAAAGACTACAGTTACTCGCAAGATTAAGGGCGCGATACAGTCAGAGCCCAGTCCCCATCTCGGTAACAGGTGCACAAGCAAGAAGAGCGGCGCAACAAGATTTCAGAGTACCTAAATTCCTAGTCTAAATCCTATTTTGCAAAAAGAAATTCCAAAAAGATATGAGGCAGGTGAGGATTAAATTCAGGACCTCTTGAATGCCACTTTTGTGCCTTACCAACTAACTTAGGCTGCTGGATGTCCATTTCCCGTCCAACTAGTTCTTTTTTCTTTTTGGCCAGACGAGGTCCACTTTTGGCCAGACGAGGGGCCTCGCTGCACGGCTCTCGACATCCACAAAAGACAAAAATATTGGCGGTGCATCTTTCCATATTCTAGCGGAAGATTCACTCTCGTTTTGCACATTTCGAGAGCAGTGCAGCGAGGCCCGAGGTCCATTCTGGCCAAACGAGGTCCAGATTTGGCCCGACGAGGTCTCGGTGACATGGTTGGCACAGTTTGGGCCAGCAACCTATGCCGTGACCCAATCAGCCAGCGACGGAGTCCATCTCGTGCATCAGGAGCAAGGAGGGAGGAGGGGGAGAGGGCAGGGAGGGAGGGAGGGCGGAGCGGGGCAGAGGGTCGTCGATGGGCGAACACTGTGCGGCAGCAAGTTGAAGGAGAAACAACCGGGCGTCAGGGCGCGACAGCCCTCGGGAGCGATCGCTAAACGGATCCCGGCTTCGATAGATTGCCAGCGCGATCGCGCGTAGGCGAAGCCGGACGAAGAAGTGCGACGAAGAAGTCTTAGTACGTCGCACTACGTGCGGCGGTGTGACGAAGAGAGAAAACGACTGGAGAGGGAAAATGGAGCTGCCGGGGAGAAAAGCACCTCAGAGACAAGAAAGCCGAATGGTAGGTATCAATCAGGCCTGCCCTAACAATCTCTCTCTCTCTCTCTCTCTCTCTCTCTCTCTCTCTCTCCCCTTCTCTCTCTCTCTCGCTCCTTCTCTCTCTCTCTCCCCTTCTCTCTCTCTCTCTTTCTCTCTCTTTCTCTCTCTTTCTCTCTCTTTCTCTGTCTCTCCCTCCCCTTCTCTCTCTCTCTCTCTCTTTTTCTCTCTCACTCTCTCTCCTACGCTTGCTTGTGTCTCTCTTTTCCTTGCTTTTCCTCTCTCTCTCTCTCTCTCTCTCTCTCTCTCTCTCTCTCTCTCTCTCTCTCCCTTTGTCTCATTTTCTCTCCCCTCCCTTCTCTCTCTATCTCTTGTCCTTGTTTCCCTCTTCTCATTCTCTCTCTCTCTCTCTCTCTCTCTCTCTCTCTCTCTCTCTCTCTCTCTCTCTCTCTCTCTCTCTCTCTCTCTCTCTCTCTCTCTC